CACCAAAATTCACCAAAATTCACCAAAATTCACCAAAATTCACCAAACTCCTCAATATTCATTCAATTCAAATGTGAGAGTTTTCGTGAATTCATGTGAGTTTCAGCGTGCAAGAATGGATTTTACCGGATTATACGTCAATAGAATAAATACTTGTTGTTTTTGAATCATTTTTTGAGTGCGTGAAGCCCCTAGCACGGGAGATATCGCAGTCGGTGCAAATCCAACGAATGAAGAATACAATTTGTGGCGAAGTATTGATTTGCGCGTACAAAAATTGATAAAGATGAGCTGTAGCCGGATAAATATACCGGTTAACTTGTTTAAAGTTTGGGATTTTCAAGAGTTTTGTTTAGTTCATCTTTGAAAAAAATCGAATTTATTTCAAATGTTTCAATTTGCAAAATATTGACATCAATGCTTGAAAAAAGGCTTATTGTAATCATGATGACATCCTTTCTAGATCTACTTTTTTTGTGATAATGTCCTTGTCGAAGTCTCGTGAGAAAATGGCAAATGTTAGCAAATCTGACTTTGGCACATTCAAATTCAGCTCGACCATAACACGATGGCGTTTTAAATTGGATCTGGAATGAAAATAATGGAACTTTAGTCAAACTTTTGATTTTTGTTCGTACAAAATAGGGGAAAAAGCTATCAATAATCCTTATTGAGCGTAATTAACCATGTGAATATGTTGTCAACAAACAAATTGCACGGGATTGATCAGCAATCAATCATAGCAAATTTGAAATGCTCCTATCAGTTATTGTAAAATTTAAGTAGCTTTTTTTTATCAAATCATCAAATGAAGAAGAAATCAAGAATATAAATGTGATAAGATTTGTAGTGATTTTTAAACATTGTTCGATTTTTTGGAATTAATGACTTTAAATAGGTTGAAAAGGCCTGATGGAAAAAACCAAACTTACATTTTGAAATCGAATTCATTTGAATTGAGCGACAGCAAATTGGCGCTCAATGTGTTCGGCATAACTTTCATACGAGTGACAGGCAGCACCGTTTTCAGTGACATTTTCGTGAAGTCGTATCGATTGTGCACTTTCGATGGTGATATCCGAGTTCCACACAAATTCTTCATGTTCATCTCAGGACAAGCGATCAAACTGCACACTTCTTCGCCAGTGACCACGTTTTTGATGTATTTGTAGTGACGATGTCCACTAAACACCGATATCGCATAGGAATATGATGACTGAAATGGAAAAAAATCGATGAATAAATTTTGCGTTACCTTTTTTTATAGATTTACAGGCATCAACATACTAATGTTATTAATTATTAACATATTACTAACGGGGCGTTAATAACTCAAACATAACATATTATTAGATTAATAATAAGATTCTACGATATTATCTCATTATTAACAGGGATCGAAAACGGTTTGACGTTTCTCATACAAACCGATTTCGGAACGGTTCCACTGCTTTGCTCTCTGTTCATCGGAGCGAACCGTATCAAGCGGAACGTTCTGAGAATGATTTGTATGGGCAACGTTCAAGCGGGTTGTCACTGTGTTAGTGTCGTATACTAATACACGTAAGTATAAACGTTTCAGTGTGCCATACAAACTATTTTTCAGAACGTTCCGAATGGTTTGGTTTGTTCACACACTCAAACTAAATATTCGGTTTGGTTTGGTTTCGATCCCTGATTATTAATAAGATCGCCATTTTATTAAAAAGTTAATAAGATCCATCTTATTATTAATAAGAAAATCGTATTTTATTAACCAATTTTTTTCGGTCTAAATGTTGAATTTTTCTTCAGAAATTTTTTCAAAGTTTCATGCTAAAAACATGTCAAATATCGTCAGACGACGAAATCTTGAAGAAAAATACATCTGACAATATTTGACATGTTTTTAGTATGAAACTTTGAAAAAATTTGTGAAGAAAAAAATTGGTTAATAAAATCCGATTGTCTTATTAATATTCTAATAAGATTATCTTATTAATCTAATAATATGTTATGTTTGAGTTATTAGAAATTTTCCGATATTTCGGTTATTAACATATTAATAACATATCGAAAATGCAAAGATTGCATATTTGCTGCTGAGTAGGCCTGAGCTGAGCTGAATTTGCTAACTCAGGCGCCTGAAGCGGTATTTTAGCGCACTTACGGTGCAAAATTTTTGTGGATCGCTGGAATCCACGCTGTTTATCAATTATATTTGGGTGGATACCAGCGATCCACAACAATTTTGCACCGTAAGTGCGCTAAAATACCGCTTCAGGCGCCTGAGTTAGCAAATTCAGCTCAGCTCAGGCCTACTCAGCAGCAAATATGTAATCTCTGCAAAAATGTAAAACTATACCTATTTTGCCATTTTTTTTTCAATCAAAAAGCAGTGAACAACATAAACCATAGGCGTGACATGAAAAAAGTTGCTTGACAGCGCCGAGTACTCCCGCAGTGGTGAAAAACTAAAACACACCAATCACCAATATTGATGTTCACGATCATCAAATTGTTCATACTAAATTTTATCCACTTTAGGCACTCATAACTGCTCATAACTGCTCATAAAAATGAAATTCCTGATTATTAGAATCACATATCAAGTTTACATGCTAACTAAAAATCAAATCGGGAAAATAAAAAGTAAATTCGGCAATTCGATGAATTACCGAACGTTTTTTGTGTTTTCGGCAAAATATCGAACTATCAACAATGTTGTCGAAATTCACTCACATCGGATTCCATTTTCACAGGAATTCAACAATGCCATTGATACAATTCACATGATAAATTATCTGAATTTATCAAAATATCCGATCGAACAAATGCAGAAAGACCAATTTGGAGTAAACGAAAAATGTAAACAGAAACGAACTGTCATCACGAAATTCGGGCTAGTTTCGATGTTTGACAAGACTGTGCGAATGTGTGCGAATTACTTGTTACTTATTCGGGCAAGTGTATTGGCAATGCTTTATAATGTTAAATGAGTCTAGATTTTGTAATGACAGTTCGTTTCTGTTTACATTTTTCGTTTACTCCAAATTGGTCTTTCTGCATTTGTTCGATCGGATATTTTGATAAATTCAGATAATTTATCATGTGAATTGCATCAATGGCAGTGTTGAATTCCTGTGAAAATGGAATCCGATGTGAGTGAATTTCGACAATATTGTTGATAGTTCGATATTTTGCCGAAAACACAAAAAACGTTCGGTAATTCGTCGAATTGCCGAATTTATTTTTAATTTTCCCGATTTGATTTTTAGTTAGCATGTAACTTGATATGTGATTCTAATAATCAAGAATTTTATTTTTATGAGTGGTTATGAGCAGTTATGAGTGCCTAAAGTGGATAAAATTTAGTATGAACAATTTGATGATCGTGAACATCAATATTGGTGATTGGTGTGTTTTAGTTTCTCACCACTGCGAGAGTACTCGGCGCTGTAAGCAGTACATCAGTGCTGTTCGCTCATGTCGTGCCTATGACATAAACAAGAGATATTTTTTCACCTTTCCCTCCAATCCGCCATTGTCGCTGACTTCGATATTGTAATCACAGCAAAAGGCTTTGTTGCACACTTTTCCGCTTTGTTTAAGATTTTTGGAGAAGTCCAAAAATTTCACAGTATATTCAGTTAGGTTATCTTGATGAAGTTTCATTTCAAATCGAGATTTGTCAGGTCGAAAACTCCATTCATTCGGTTGCTTTATCGCGACTTCGGTTGCTTTATCGCTTTTTGATTGAAAGTGTTCAGTTGGCAATGGATCAACGGGAATTTTCGCTCTAAGAATTTTAGTTGCCGGCGTCTGGTTGACAATCACTTGCAATGCACCCGATCGTCCACCGTAAATTCCACTGCCCGAAAACCCCAGGCTGGGTTGATTGGCATTTGCTGCCAATAAATTTACATTATTCGCATATGCCCAACTTTGCTGGTACTGAGCAGCTAAAAACAAAAATAAGGGGTCAAGATAAGAAATCAAAAAATTCCACCAAAATTCGTTTATCACCTGTGGAATACGGAAGTTTCGAGAACCACATCGTTGGAAAAATAAAGTTTTTGACTCCTTGATCGACTAAACTGTTGGCTGGTTTGTCAAACAACAAATCAAAGCAAATGAACACGCCAAATGTTACATTGAAATCGGTTTTGAATGTTGTCATATCGGGCGTTTCGGTCTGTTGCACTCCTTGTTCACCGAACAAGTGATATTTTCGATACCTTGAAATGAATTAATTTCGATAAAAATTTATTTTTAGATCAATAATTCATTGTGCTACTCCACTTACTTCGCAACCACATCGCCGTTGCGGTCAAAGACAATGGCCATGTTGTAGAGGTTCGTGGAATCGGATTCGTATGCGCAAAACGACTGATCGTCCATTGAACATTTCACTTTGACATACAAGCCGATTACCACATATTTTTTAACCTTTCGAACGGCACATGAGACACTCCGAAGCACCTCATCAACAGTCGGATCATCGCAATAGGACAAATTTGTATTCGGTAGAAGCACAGCAGTGATTTGGTTATTTAAAATTATTTCCGGAAAAACTACAATATCAACTCCATCCAATTCAATCGATTCGATGATGTCGATGGCTTGTTTTGTGGATTTAGCCACCTCATTGATAGTGTATCCAAGGGACACAGGATTTACTTCCACTACTGCCCCTGTGTACGTTGCAACCTGCGTTTTTGAGAAAAAAGAACGAAAATTGATGAAAAAATTAAGAAGTTTTCTTCGTAATGTAAGAGTGAGGAAATTATGTGATACTAGATTATAGTTCAACTCTACTAAAATGGTCATCGGTCAATAGTCTCACCTGTTCACTTTGGCAGCCATTTAGAAAAATGATACCAATTAGCAGCAAAAATGTTGAAAACATTTCTTCACACTTTGAGAATACAATTTTGGTTGGAAGTTGATTTTTATTCACCAGAATAGAACGTTTTTTTTGATTTTCTAAAACGAAGTCGAATGTTTGAAGCCAATTTTTTTTTTTTTTGAAATCAACACAACGTGTAATTTCTTGATCGACGAGAGAACACCAACGGAAATTCTTCAAAGTTCACAGTTCCAAAACAAACGATCGAAAGAATGGCTGTTGTTTTAATTCTGAACTTGTGAATCCGTATGGAATAACACTAGTTGAATCTACCATTTTTATAGTACAATGTTACCAATTGTGGTCAATTGTTGAAATTCCATTCCAACTTAGCAGGAAATTCCTTAACTCCTCGATCGCCTACAAAATATTTACTTTACCAACATTAAAATACCACATCTCGTATTGCGAAAATATATTTTCTCTAAACGAAGTGAATGTACAAACAAAAGATGTTCTATGTAAATTAGTTCAGTTCGCAACAAAAAAATTTGTTCAGTTTCGATGATCGTGGTATCAATTTGTCACTCTATCGACTCGTGACTCGTTGAGCAAAAATTCGCACGTGTAACCTTGAATTCGACTCCTATAATTTTGTAAACGCAAGTTTCAAATCGATAACAATTTCCATATATTTTGGGAGAAAAGCAAACGTTTAAACCAGCAATAACACATTTAAACCAGCCGAAACATTTTTTATTGTTGTTTTATCCCATTTATTGTGACAAAATATGTTAAAAAAGCAAAAACTGAATTGTGTTTACTTCAAGTCCAACTTCAATTTGACGTGAAATTTATTCATCTTGGAAGTGGAACGGTAACTGTATAAAAATCTTCGGTTTAAAATGTATCAAAATTTATTATGCACATATCGCGTTGGCAGTGCCTGTAAGGTGTATTACATTAAAATGAGAATTAATTTTAACACACGTCTGCTTTGTTCAACGAGGTAAAACCAATTGGTGCTTTATTCATAATTATTGAATTTTGAACACTTGAGCCGAAAATGCTTAGTTGCTAAAACTTGTAATTAGAATCATTTTTTGTTGGCCGATCGTTGACACGGTTTTACTTGCTTTATTTAGCTTTATATTTAGTTTGCTTTATTTCTTTGTTCTCTGAACATTCTCCGGGGCCAGAAATTTTTTTACTTCGATTTAGACTAATTTCAAACTTTAATTGAATGTTATCATGAAAAACTAAAACTGTAGAATTTTTTTTTTTTTCAATCTGAATTACTTTACAAAAAATGTTCAGACAACATAGTTTAAATACATGAATGAATAATATAGTGCAAGCATTGCTGACCAAGCGGTCAATGTATTATCTATTTCATTAATTGGTACCTAAGTTGGCAATAGTGTTTTACATTGCCAAAAACACTAAATGGTTTTCTATATCGCTTGTGCGTACACAGGAAGCAATGTAGAGCGTGACTATTGACTCGCATTGCTGCTGTGATACACACTGTCGCACGGTCGCACGAACACTTGCCCGTTGTGTTTTATTTATGCGATGATGCTCATTGATGGATATACCATAAATCAATATTGTCCCTTCTCTCTACTCTTCTCACTTCATTTGTTGAATAACATCAAAATGAATCGAGTTGACAGAAGCGCACACCTAACCGATGCACAAAATGGAAGAATACTTTCGTTGTATCATGATCATGGCCATTCGGTTGCTGAAATTTCAGTTATAGTGGGGGCTACGGTAATAAATCCAGGGTTCATCGTATTGCATGTATTTTTAGGAAACATTGATTTTGATTTTTAGGAAAAAACTATTCGATTATGGATCAATCGATTTGCCGTGAATGGCAACGTTGATAAGGTCAAGCAAACTGGTCGCCCACGAATAACAACACCTGAACAAGATCGTGAAATGGTTCAATATTTGCGTGAAAACCCATATTCAACTGCAACAAGAGCTGCTGCTGTTCGAAATGTTCCATATATTACTGCCACCAGACGCATAATCGGAATTAAGATGCCGAGTAGCCGCAAGAGACATAAAATCAACACCGGCACATCGAAATCAAAGAGTTCGTTTTTGTCGATACATGATGGACGAATTTGGTGTTGAAAATTTCGAAAAAATCATTTTCTCTGACGAAAAAACATTCCGATTCGATGAAAATTATAAACAAACGGTTTATCAATTACGTCAATCATTGATATCAACAAATAGTTAACAACTAAAATATAGTATCATTTTTTCTATAAAGAAATTTTTTGGAATAAAATAATCTATTCATCTGAACTGTTATTTTCGACTAACTAAAATTTTCGATTTGTTTTTGTTTTCCCAGGATACACTAAACAGAAGACAATTGTCACATCATTGGTTACAATTTCAATCTTTGAACAATTTCTCCACTACATTTACTCGTACATTGTGTGACATTGTATCTGTAATGTGTTTGTCAAATAATATGATGTTGTCAGTTCGTAATAAGTAGATTTTATCGTGTAAACGTGTATAAACGATAACTAATTATTAGTTTTATATGAAGTTCAGTTGATACCCGCACGAAAATCAGTTGTTATCTTCACAATTTCGGTATTTGTTCAAATGAAATAAACATTTTTGGCGGATTTAATAACTTATCATTATTACACATCACTTCATCTGTCATCTACATTCGACACGTTCCACCAATCCTGGAATATTAAAAACTGTTCGAGTGCGATTCTCATTCTTCAATAGAGTGAATAACATTTTGCATTCCCAAGCGCGACAGTACGATCAATTCGATGTCACATCAGTTAGATCATCCAACTTGGATGTGAGCATTCGTCCTAGGCATATGTGACAAAGAGAATTAATATCAAAACTAAAGAGTCGTTGCTTTTATTAGAATTACTTGAGACTTTCTCTGGATGTGACATCGAAGCGTTTGACATACTGTTGCGCTTGAAGGGACAACGCGTGATATGTTAGTAATTTTGTTAATATTATCGCAAGTTGACTGACACCAAATCACACAAACTCAAATACTTACACACAACGCTCACGATAAGAAAAGATAATGGGACTCCTATTCTCGTCTACCCTCTATAAAGTAGGGTGAAACGAAAAACGTCCTAAAAAACCCAAAAATCGTCCTATAAATTACGAAAATCATCCTTAATATCACAAAAATCGTCCGGAAAAAATAACAAAATCGACCTAAAAGACCCTAATTTCATCCGAAAAATAATACAAAAAACATCATAAAAAACAGATTGTGTTTGTTACAGTATATTTTACTGAGTTTTCTCATTGCCATTGAGATATGTATATTATTAAACATACAGTTACTCACAAAATTGTTCAATGTGTCCAAAACGCATATTTTCTATATCGCATGGGGCAGATATGGCAATATTATCGTGTGATACTTGCTTACGTGCGTCTAATATTCATCATATTTCGTCAAAAAAGAAATATTCGGCTACATCTATTCGTAATGCTCAATTTTTTGTTACAAAATATCGCTGATAACATTTGATGCTGTCGTTTTTACAAT